GGCCGGGCGTCGAATCAGGTGCCCGCCGGTGCCGTTCGCGATTCCCGGCTCGTTTTTGCACGGAAGCGAGTGGGCGTTGGGTGGGATCCCACACCTTTTAGATGAGGCGAGCGAGCGGCAACGCGAGCACAAGGCTTGCTGAAAAGAGGCGTGCACGGCCCCTCATGAGGCCAGGCCCGAGGCTCAAGCTCCCACGCCTACGGCCTCGCGCGCAGGCATATGGGCGCGGCGGCCCGGCCCCGCCGTTGGTGGTTTTGGAAGAGTCCCTTGGTGCGTGTGAAGGGCGGTGGGGTGATTGTCGCGGCTTGATTGTGATGGAAGGGATGCGTGGTGATGCAGGCGTGTTACGGGGGTCTGCTTGGCCCCCAACCGACCGATAGCAGGCCGCGCCGCATTGCCAAGGCAGCCGCGGCGCCGCCGATGTGGATGAGAGTCGCGTTCACTGCCGCATGAAAAGAGCGCCGCGCACGGCGCCCCGGCGGAGCACAAGTCGTGCCCGGCCAACCAACAGATTGATATTAAGAAAGTGGCAGGTAAACTTTCGGGCCCGGGGCACTAAGCACCCGCGGAGCATGGCTGTGCTGAGGCTTGAAAAGCAGGCGCCAAGCCGCACGGCGCAGCGCATGCAGGTGTTGCCGTCCCCTCCCTGCACGCGTCACGCTTCAGCAGGCGCTGCGCGCCGGCGCGGTGGGTCGCGGCCGATGTCATATCTTGTTGGTTTATGTGCGTAATCCTTACTGTGCGAGGGCAGCTGCATGGTTATGCTCGCCGTGATGCTGAGTGGAATGCGGGGTTGCCCGGCAGGCTGAGAGGCGGGCCTTGGGTCCACCCGGCCGGGACGCCTTGAAATGCGGCGCAGGCTGCGCCCAACAGAGCGCCCGCTGCTCGCACGCGACGGCCGCCGCCTCGCGAGCGGGGCCCCGGGCGACCCGCATGTGCGTCTCGTGGCGGGGACAGCGAGGCTCGGCGGCCTGCAAGAGAGCCGCGCCGCGATGCATGAGGGTCCACGAGCGCCGCTCTGCGACCGCAAGAGCAGGCCTCGACAATCAATCCAGGTCGTGCCGCCAAAAACGCCGTCACAAGCCGTGAGGACGAGGCGCGCCCGAAGGCCTCTGTGCATCCCCAAAGGATGCCGGCCGCCCGCGGCGCCGGCGACGCACGCTTGCGACAGGTGCAGAAGGCGCAGGACGCGCGACGGCACGTTGGAGGCGCCGCCCGGCACGCCCCCCGCCTCGATAATCACTTGCCG